TAACAACTGTATATATCCCCCAAAGAGAACGAGAATGCATTAATTTAGCACATTTTCCCCGATTAATACATTACTTGCATACCGGTAACCTACATGATTAATATCATGGTTAAGATTTTTTTAAGATGTACTACACCCTTTCGATAATTACGTCACACACACGTTTTGGTCTTGGAGCCTCGCTCTCATTAGTAAATTACGCAAGCTAAGGTGATTGGCTCACGATTCATGAGAGCGAGGCTCCCAGGTCAAATGACGTAATTATCGAAAGGGTGTATTTTGTACTTATTGTGTACTAATCATAGTCGTACAGCAAATGGTAGTCGAATAGCAGTTAGATAAAATGCTTTCAATTGTTCACTATATAGCTATAGTATTCGTTTATTTGATAAGAAATAAAATAGGTTTACTTTTCTTGCTGCTATATTTGTCAACAATGTCAAACAACTTGTACTGAAACAATTATCATCATAATAATTACAATCGGTCAATATTACACTTCCTACATCGAGATTAATGACCCACCTCAGTGACAGGTATCCCAGTAATATGCTGTCGATATCCCAGCACTGAGAAGACAGTCACTCCAGCAAATATACATGTGCCAGCGTCAAGAGCTACGACGATGAGAGCATCACGAACAACGTTATTTATTGTGGAAGTCATTATAACTGGCGAAAGTGATCATAGCCCCAAATCCAACACTTATACTATAGAACATTTGAGTCGCAGCATCTTTCCACACTGTGGGTTCAGCCAACTTTGAAAACTATAGACAGATAAATCAGTCAATAAATAAATACTCTATGCATTGAAGTAAAACAATACTCATTTATATTTTTGCCTAGATTTTTGCCAAAAATTGGTCCCCAATTCCTCATCACGTGCGTATTGACTGTTGTATTTTCACCAAACCAACCAATAGCAATGTTTTAACTCAGTAATCCGTCCGTGACTTCAACAATAGCCTATAATACTGTTTATTACGCTTTTGCCCAAATGCGTCGTTTCATCATGTTTGCCTGTTTTAACATATAATAATATAATACATTTCTATCGCTATACAGGGTGAGTAAAAAAACCTGATACCTTCGCGGCTACTTTGAATAACAAAGGTGTCAGTTTTTTTTTACTCACCCTGTATTTATTGCGCTAACTATGAGGAATGAAAACGAGGCCATATGGAAGAAGGACCACGTTTTGGATATGCCAAGACCAACATAGACGAATTTTATTGTGCTTTTGTCAAGTTTTAATTTGCAAACTATGTAGGCTACTATGCAAAGTTCGCAAACAATCACGGGCATGTGCATGCATGGTATCCTCTTGTTTTCCAAACAACATTAGCATATATAAGTTTAGACAGAAAAATTTGCTGTTGAAAAAATTTCAATTATTGTTGCCGTTGCTTTAGCTGGAAATAGAATCGAAATTTTTGGAAACTGGCCTGCTGTATATACGTAGCTTCATGTAGAATAAATGAAAGATTAGGTGTACCAATCTGGCCCTAAAAAGTGTTGAGAGCTGAGACAGCCGCATTTCTGGGTTTTGAACAATAATATATTTTGCATACATATCGCTTGCCATAGTGCATTTTTATGGGAACGACATGACTGGCTTGCCCCGTTGGCTCCCGTAAATATAATAGACAGTGGGAGCAACTCCCACGCCACCCCACGTAGTGTTACCGCAGTTCTGGCACTCCTGAATTTCAAGTACTGTCGTGAAAGCAAAATAACGTAATACGATTAAAACAAAAATATAAAAAATATATAGAGCTGTACTTACATCTGGTTCAAAAAATACTCGGATGCCATCCGCAGCTCCTTCCAGGGTTATTCCACGGAAGAAAAATATAAACAGGATGACGTAAGGAAACGTTGCGGTAAAGTAAACAGCCTACATAATAAATAATATTATATTTCATGAGGACACGGCAAGCAGGTAAAATATTAGATATGTTTCGGTACTCTGGTTTAAGTAAATAAAAGTAATCCCGGATCAAAATACATTTACTACTTTTGTATACTTTTATTGGAAGCGATTTGGATCATCATAATTTGCATACGGATGATGGAAGTTCTCTTCAACAATAGTATCTCTATCAGGATTGTGGCAATGTTGAAGCGTTTTCATAGATGGAAGTATCGAGTGTAGGCTACAACAATTTATCTCTACCACGTTTGACTTAATCGAATCACAAACTTTCCTCACCTTGCCACTTGTCTTAATTCCTTTCGCAATACAGATGTATGTAAGAAACCAAGCAAGAAGTAAACACCCAAACAATTTCGCATTTACACCTTCGCCATAATCATCTATGTCTGTAGATACTTGCAGTGTAGACGAATAAAAATACCACATGGACGGATCACGGACACAACAATCAGTAAAATTCTCTACTTGACTTTTGTAAAGATCCCTTTGAGTCTTAAGACTAAAATACTCGCTCGAATTAACAGTTGTGTTCGTTAGCAAGTCCTCATAATAAGATTGGTTGCCTTGAAGACTCGCGAACATTCCAGCTTTCGGACACAGTTTATCACGAATCCACGGTAGGTCTTTGGTTAGGGATATGAAGAAATAATACACACACCATGTAATAATGACGATGTAGTATAAACAGAAGTATATAGAGACTATCATACAGCCAATACCGATTCCTATGAAACATGGATGCATTTGTTTGAAACCACGTAGAGCGGTAGTTCGGAATCTTTGACCAACTGTGTATTCCAAGATCATGAGAGGAAATCCTTCAAGAATCATGCATGTGAAAAAAGGAATCAAGAAGGCACCTGAAAAAACGTCAAAGATTTTTAAGTTTTATACTTTAAAATTCGTGACAATGGGACCAGGGCCGTAGCAACCGGGGGGGGGGCTGCAGCCCCTCCAATAATTTGCTAATAATCATTCTTTTTTCAAAATCATGCAAACTTTATCATTTAATCTGTGACAAACTGCAAAGAATGAAGATATTACTCATACTCCAGATCGTTCCTCGCGTAGAAATTTTAGCTGAATTTCTGTCGCGCATTTTCAAGAAAATCCCACAAAATCTGCACATTTTTGATGAACTAATGATTTATTTTGTCTTTTGCGTGTTGGGTCTTGCGAAAGAAAACTCTGAAAATGCCATTTCAGACCATCTAGAGACTCCAGATTTTCGAAATTTTCTCAAATGTTCTGCCTTCATTTCCGCGCAACTGCCATTTACGACGAAAATTCCCGCCGCGCATTTATAATACTACAGTCTGGCCCATACTTTCCTGTAAATTTCGACATACTAAAACGCTGTTTTCTGACTATCAGAATTCTGTTAAATCTTCCCCCAAAGTCCAGGAAATGGCATTTTAGAGACTCTAAATTTAAAAATTTCCTCGGGCCTTCGGCCCTCGCTTTCAGCCCCCCCCCCCCAATCGAAAAGAGCTTCCTACGGCCCTGTGGGATCAGATTGAAAGCCATGCTAATCTATACAGACTAAGTCAGTTAAAGACTAATTGGAAAACCTAATTTAAAAATGTAGTGTAAAAATGTGCATGGCAAGCATCACTATGTACTAGCACCATCGCTACCTTCAACGTTTCTTTGACAAAGGTCTAGAAACAGCCATTTATTTCCCCAAGATAAGTTTACCACGCCACGAATCAAGTTTCTGTGTATGTACCCCCTTCCCAGGAGTGACACTTGCTACTCACGTCCAGCATTTCCTTGACAAAGAAAGGGGAACCGCCATATATTTTCCCCACCTCAAGGACTGACGCCCTTGAAGCTCATCTCCAACATTTCTTTGACAATAAAGGGAGGGGACTGCCAAACATTTCCCTGCACCTATTGCTAAAACAAAGGAGGCAAGTACAAACTCCAGTTTACCACCCTATGAATCACGTTCATTCGCATATTCCCCCTCGTCCCACAGGTGTGGCACCCTTTCTACTCACCTCCACCATTTCTTTGACAGAGATAAGGGAACCGCCATACATTTCCACCACCTACTGCTAAACCCAGGCAGGCAAGAACAAACTCCATTTTAGTACCCCACGAATCACGTTTCTCCATCTTGGTTTCCTCGTTTCCAATTTCCGGCAGAACTGCACCATTTGTTTCTTCGTTTACTTTATTAAGCTCTAGAAAATATAACATTAGCTATGAATAACTAGCTAAAACTCAACTGTATTCAACGCCACAATACATTGATGGATAAATATTAAAATATAGTATATATTGTAATATTCTAATTCCATTCCGATGTGTATCAATGTGCTTTATAGCTCCTACTTTAAAGTTACACGAAGTTCGATTCCAGACGCGCACTGTTAGATTAAGTAATTTTGCATTCAATGTATGTGACAGCTAGGCGGAATGTATTCATTTCTCCAAGTAATCTGGTAACACTAGGCGATGCAATAAAGGGTAAAACTTCTCGTGTGGGAAACGGAGTTTAGATATAGAATTGATGGAGCTACACAGCGGTTAAATATATCACAAATTGTTACACATTAAGAACTTCCCATTACCTAGTGAACTGGTTTACGAAGAGATAGTGACCCTTCCGATGACGTAACGTTGCATGTTAATTATGTAAACTTTGATCAGTCGAATGGGCAGCTGACTGACAGTCGTTATAAAATAGTTCTGGAATCTTTTGATTTGGAAACATAAATATGTACAACTAATCAGGCTACTCAATCAAATTCCGAAACAATTTGCTGATGTTCTTAAATTTTCCGTAGGTTGTGAGAAGCACGCACAGGTATAAAGGAGCAATGGCTGTATTCGCTCTGCTGTAATTTTGAAAACAATTTTTTAACCGTCCGACCGATGTTGCACAAAGTCGTTTTACACATTAAATTTTATTGACTTCAAACAATATTAAATTTTTATTAGCGCACGGATATTAGCAATATTGGCGCGGAAAGAGGCCTGAACAGATACTGCGATTTTAATCTCAAATCAATATTGACCTTTTACCAACAACTCGTGACCGAAAAAAAAATTGACAATTTAATGTCAAACGTAGATTTGGCTGCGAAAACAACTACAACATTTTCCCGTTTACTTTCACTATAATGTTTCCTATTTGTAATTTATTTTAATTCGTTTGAAATCTTGAAACTGTATACATGCACATAATATACTTGTCCAAAATTTCCATTCACTTGTCACGATTGGCGATAATTACTGTCGTCATGGCGTCTTTTTGTATTCTTCAATCTTGTGTATTTCTCCTTAGAACCTAGATCGTTTCCATGCAGGAGTTTCTTACGTCATTGATAAGAGAGATTTATGAAATATGCGACCTATACTCATGCGTGATCTTGAATTTTTATGGACCGTGAGTTGTGGTCATTGTTGCATGGAATATCTGTGTGTCTTCTGGAACATCTTCATCATCATGCGTGATCTTGAATTTTTATGGATCGTGAGTTGTGGTCATTGTTGCATGGAATATCTGTGTGTCTTCTGGAACATCTTGCACAATACAATGATCAACAATAAATATATATTGAACAAAATCTCGCAATTTATAGTGACAGGTTAATATTCAATTGAATGAAACTACGGAAAGGGCGAAGTCTTGAAATCTTTCGTCTTCTGGGGATTCTTCAAATCCAATGTTTTCTGGGAGAGGACGTAAAACAGCGATGCCAATTATCCAACTTAGGAAATACCTGAAAGCAGTCGTTGATCATGTATAAAATTCCGAATCTTGACATCCCATGACTGTAATATTGGTCTACCGTATGTCCTTAATCCGATCACATAACACTGATACCGTTGTTTACCAAGCTCTTTGATGGTCACAGTTAACATCTGGTAAACGTTTCCCACATCACTGCATGACACAGCAACTGATCGTTCCATTTTGGTGTACTCATTTAGAAACCACCACCGAGATCTACACCACACCATATCTTCACGCTGAATCCGATCGTCTTCTACTTCTGGTATTTTAGTGCGTCTTCTATCTTAATTCTGGCATATATTTTGAGCTATACCTGCACAGGTTCTCTTTTAGCATATAGATTATATCACCAGGAACTGTTTTTCTTCGTTTGTAATCAGCTTTTAGATTATAGTCGTTTGTAGTCAGCTTCACTTAGGCTTAGTGCCTTCAGGACTCTTCACAATATTTGTTTCTTCACTGTTGTTTTCCTTGTTTTTACATAGTGTTTCGTTGACATGATCATCCTTCTCTCTGCCTGAACAATCACAGTCTCGCTTATCTTCTCTGATATCGCAACAATCCCAGCTTCAGTTCCTATCATATTTACGTCTTTCCTCCGATGATATTCAAAACATCTACGTTAGCACGCGGCGCATTTCTGTTCTATCCATGCAGCTGATTTTCTTCTCTTTCGCCAAAACATTTCGTAAACCAACACCATCGTGCCTTCGAACAATGCAATCAGAAAGCATTCACGCGCGTCTTGATCCAGTAAACTCACTGACATCAAAATATCTCCACGGCCATGGGCAGAAAACAGCTAGTCACTAAGTAGATGGCGAGGGACATCCAGGACTTCAACTAGCACAGGAAATAGACGCATATGAAGTATATCTTACCTTAACTTCTCTGTTGAATTTCCAAAGCGAGCGAGTGTTTCGTGTGAAACAACGCGTGACAACCACTGGTGCTGCAGGATTGCAAACACAGCAGCCCGTATTAATATAGGGCAAATATTTCTTGAGTACCAAGCTTGGGGGAGGTAGAAGACAAACTATTAGTGAACATGTGAACATCACCATCACAAACACAATAATTATTAACGGCCACGGGAAATATCTCAGTAAATCAGTCTATGTCATTTTACAACTAAGAGTATGGTACGAGTTATTTTGAAAAAAAATTTCACACTCAAAATACCACACACCCAAAACTGATGACTGCGAAAAGAAAGACTGGGTGGTTATAAACACAATAAGGCATCATCCTGTCTTCTCAGTGATTCCAACTGAGGTCAGGGGATTGTGGAGTCTATTATACGGGTCCGTATAGTTCCGCAAATCGTCGTATTTTTTCTCCTTCACCGCTAAACGTCAGTATTTTCTTCGTGAAAACTAACCGTAATTTTTCTTACACAGTAAAAGTTTATCGACCAGGGACGTCGCAACGATGAGGGGGCAACGGGGGCATTGAGAATCATTTACGTGTTACCTTCAATGTACTCATTATCGTTGCAATAATAATTAATATATTTAAATTCGTAGAAAATATAGGTTGTTTCCCCCAAGAAAAAAAATATTTGATGCTCGATGCCTGTATTTAACTTCTGCCTATCAGTTTTTTTCATTTTCAGCAGAATTCGCTAAAGAAACAGATTAATTTTTATATATAATTAGTTATAACAGCTTTTGTTAGGTTGTTTCCCCCAATTGTATATGTTGCTTTTTCAAGATATTTCGTTATAATCACAGGCTGACTAATGAAGGTGAAATTCCAAAACTAAATGATATCACGAATGTTAATAATGGAGAAGTACATTTTGCAAGAATAACGGGGGGGGGGGGCAAATACAAGTTTCGAAATACTGCTATTTGCTGTAATTTGGAGATAAAAAAATAGTCGCTATCACGCATTTTGTGTCTTTTTTCTAACAATCGTAGCCTATGTTGCTTTTTAAAGATGTTTCGTTATAATCACAGGCTGACTAATGGAGGTGAATTCCAAAACTAAATGATATCACGAATGTTAATAGTGGAGAAGTACATTTTTCAAGAATAACCTGGGGGGGGGGGACAAATATACAAGATCTAAATAAAAGGTTTTGTCCTGTATGTGGTCACAATGGACCACTATAGACCTCAGTGAATATGCAGTCCACAACAAATAAAGCTAATATAAGTTTATATATAATTTATAAGTTTAATTAAGTTTAGGTATTGGCTCGCTGCAGTATTCATGTGTGATTCGCAAGTTTTGGGTGCCTCGCATGGCTCGCACTTTATGCAGACCCAAGATGATTGATACTTTCAAAAAATAACGATAATAAATTGACAGTTTAATGCGTAAGAATTAATCAGAATCTATAATTTACGAACTCCAGTTCCGCGGATCGACTTGTCATGCAGGTTTCGAACATTTTTCTATAGCAGATAGCCTGACTCAATGACAAATTTACTATGCTTCATTAGATTTTATTTTTGTGAACTGGCAGCCAATCTTCAAATGGAGCTTACGAGTTATGTAATATAGTCTATGCTCAACGATTTTCCATTACCGAGTGATTATTTCTTCACTGTAAACCGCCAGGAAGATTGAGATATGTTACACCCCAAATTTACTATATGCTTCATTAGATTTTATTTTTGTGAAGGTATTCAATATTCGAATGGAGCTTATGTCAAATATAATCTATGGCTATCAGGGCCGGCTTAACGTTGCGCGAGGCCCGTGGCAGATTTTAGCGCGAGACGCCCCCCTCCCCCCACCACCTGTTTTGAAAATCTTTGAATTCAAAGACACACAAAATTGTTAAATAATTGTTTTCAATATTTCAATTATTGGCATCACTTATAAACGAGACAATGCAATGCTTCGGCCCAGTTGTTGGGTCAACAAGTATAAACAGGATCATATATAACAACTCAGCGCAACTGGAGATTACATGCATACAAGTATTGCATATTTTCCTGAGGCCAACTGCCAAGCCTAGGGGCCCTAAATGCGCGAGGTCCCTAAATTCGCGAGGCATCTAAATTCGCGAGGCACCTAAAATGGGCGTGTTCTCGTAAAAATGGGTGTGGCACAGTAAAGCGCGAGGCCCCCATAAGCGCGAGGCCCCCATAAGCGCGAGGCCCGCGGCATATGCCGCATCTGCCACGTGGTTAATCCGGCCCTGATGGTTATGCTTGACGATTTTCTGTCAACGAGCGATAACCGGCGTAAACCACCACGAAATTGAGATATATCCAAAAACCGCCCTCTCAAATGCGGCAGAATCGCCTAACCGCCAAACTATTATACACTCCCTGTGGGGGTTAAATTACATTTCTGCGCAGCTCGATATCATTTGGGTGAGAAAAGGTGCCCACCTACTCTCCTTCACCGTTAAAGGCCGTTTTCCACTAAGCGGAATTTTCCGCGCGGAGCGGAATTTCTCTTTGTCTTTTCTAAGTAGTTCCACCTGAGAAATCACAAGACAAAGAGAAATTCCGCTCCGTACGGAAAATTCCGCCTTGTGGAAAACGGCCTTTATATCGACAGACCCACAATCTCTATAGATTATTTATAACTTAGTAACGGTTTCTTTAAACATTTGACTAAGTCTATAAAATTCTGCGATAAAATAGGGTGTCTGTAAAAGCCGGAACCCCACCCGGAACACCCGGAACCCACCCGGAACACCCGGAACCCCACCCGGAACACCCGGAACCCTACCCGGAACACCCGGAACCCCTCCCGGAACACCCGGAACCCCTCCCGGAACACCCGGAACCCTACCCAGAACACCCGGAACCCCATCCGGAACACCCGGAACACGCTGGAATACGAGCTATGAAGCAACGCACGTGTTTCTCTATAAATTCACGTGTTTCGCATTAAATTCGGGGTGATAGATGGTTACGATCTTTACTTTTTACTTGTATTGCTGTTTTTTTAAATAATTTTTCTCATGGGCAAGGATAAATATCATTTCTCATGGGCAAGCATAATAATTATGTCGGGCGGTACAGAATATCAAATGCATGAGTATTGCTTGTTTGTAAACGCGTGCAAACGAAGTTTCGCTCGAGGCTTTTGCCGCATGTACTATATTTCAGTTCCGTTTTCAATATTCTGCCGTACTATGTACCTGTGACTCCAGTCTCTATTCTAAATTTAGTTGAACAATAACCAATATTTAACTTTGCTATCTTTTTTATTATTTGAATAATATGTTTGCATATGGTTATTTGACTTGCAATTGTATGAAACGGCGCCATGTAAGGAATTATAAAGTTCATCCGTATTTATTATATACACTACGAATTCTCGTGGATTTGTGGGAAATTTTTCATGGATTTCTTTACTAGACTTACTCGCTTTTTTGAACTTTGAAAGACGTTTTAGTAATTTAGAGGCTGTTTTGTATATGACAATGACTGCAGCATACAGTAAAAGTGCACGCGCGAGATCTCAGAATAACAGTATTATTAAAGTGCATATGACATTAATACCATTTTTTCACCAAAAATCAGCAAAAATTAGACAATTCGAATGATATATATCATTCCTTGATCAGATAAATACTTCCAGAGATAATTTAGATCAAACAGGCAAAAAAATAGGGTTTTTCAAGACATGGCCGGGAGAAAAGAGGCTGAGTACGAATCAGGTTTGTGATGTCACACCGGGAACGGAAGTGAATCGACTCATGTTGTATTACAATAAATATCTATTGTGTGCAATGAAAATTTGTATACTTTGCGCTTCGAAATGCCTGCTAGATATCTTGTATACGACTGTTCTAACACAACAGATGCTACAAATCAAATAGCTCTACATCCATATTATGTAGATTTTCGGCTGCAGTCATTAAGGAGAAGGAAACATTGGATAGATTTGGATAAATTGAAGCGAGCAAGAACGGAGCCGTCTCGTCAATTGTCAAAGGCATGTTTGCACAAAGACATGCATTTCATGTCGAGGCTAAAAGAATGCACATTTCCTCGACTGAATGAGATATGAAATTGGGATTAGCGTTTATCTGACGGTACAAACTGCGGTCGAAACTCGAAAGGCAGGAGGACATATAATAATGCTATTAAAAATGCGAGGGTGATTTTATATACACCCAAGGTGAGACAATGTCTTATATTGCCTTTAATATACTTGGTTTTATAATTGTTGAGAATGATAGTATTGGATATTAAAAATAAAATGAACTTTATTAAATACAATTGTATTATACTACATTAAAATTAGATAAAAGTTCTTTAAAAGTTTGTTGTTAAAACAGGACCCAGTATTAAAATATTCAATGTTCATATTTGAGTGCATCTATAATCAATACTGCCAAATGCCCCAACTGCATTCGATATTTCAATGTTACCAATGTCCTGGAGCCTCGGAAACATAGTATTGCAGATATTAGCAGAGTGTATATCATGTAATATAAAAGACATTGTCTAACCTTGCGTCTAATTCGCCTTTTAATCTAATTTTAATGTAGTATTATACAATTGTATTCAATAGAATCTTTGTAGTGGAGGTACACGCAAGCCTATAAAAGATCAAAATATCTTCTCGACGTTTCGAGCAAAGGCCCTTCGTCAGGAGCGACGCTGAACAACCACAAGACTTATGTATTTAATAAAGTTCCTTTTATTTTTAATATCCAATACTATCATTCTCAACAAATATAAAACCAAGTATATTAAAGGCAATATAAGACATTGTCTCACCTTGCGTGTATATAAAATCACCCTCGCAGTTTTAATAGCATTATTATATGTCTTCCTGCCTTTCGTCCACAGTTTGTACCGTCGGGTAAACGCTAACCCCAATTTCATCCCTCATTAGTCGAGGAAATGTGAGTTCTTTTAGCCCCGACATATTCAGAGTGTACAAAAAGTCATCCGCCTTGAAATGCATGTTGGCCAGATCGGAGCCGTCTTAGCCTGCGAACAGGCTCTCAGGCTGAATTGAGAGCCTGCATCGATGACTAATGAATTTGAATATCTGCCCCGTAACGTTCGTTTTTCCAAATATGGAATGTCTATCCTTATATGGTGTTGTTTACAACTTTAGTGCAAACTAAATTTAGACCGTGCAAACTAAATTTAGACCGTACAGTTTATACTGTTTTTCGAAATATAAGATATTCAAGCAAAAGTTCAAATGTTTTAAATACTGTTTTCTCAAAACAGAACATTTCGTGCCTTGATATAAGACGGCCAAGATCAATTTGATCAGTTAATG